GACCCAGTCTGGACAAGCAGCTTGAGGGGTCTGTGAGCTCCAGACCCAGCCCTAGCTCTAAACACCATCAGTGAAGCAGTCACAGTTATTCTCTGGGATTTATTTTATGGAGCCTTTTTCTATCTCTCTCTCTCTCTCTCTCTCTCTCTTTTTTTTTCTTAAAGATGACCGGTAAGGGGATCTTAACCCTTGACTTGGTGTTATCAGCACAACGCTCTCCCAAGTGACCCACGGGCTGGCCCTCTATCTCTCTTTTTAATAGACGTTATTTTTTAGAGCTGTTTTAAGTTCACAGCAAAAGTGGGTGGAAATACAGAAAGTTCCTATAAGTCCACTCCCCTCGCCCACACAACCTCTCTCACCATCATCCCTGACAGAGTGGTACATTTGTTACAATTGATGAACTAATAGACATATCACTACATTAGTGTTGTTGACTCCTGGTTTTGTACATTCTATGGGTTTCGATAAATTTAAAATTACATGATTCACTGTTATAATATCAAACAGAGTAGTTTCATTGCCCTAAAATCCTCTTGTGCAGCCTATTCATTCTCTCCCTGCTAATTCCCCGCAACCACTGATCTTTTTTGTCTCCATTGTTTTCCACTTTCTAGAATGTCATATATTTGGAATTATAGACTATGTAGCCTTTTCAGACTGGCTTCTTTCACTTAGTAATATCACTTCAGGTTTCACCTCCGAATAATATTAATTTTATGGATGTACCACAGTTTCTTTATTTGTTCACCTATTGAAGGACATCTTGGTTGCTTCCAAGTTTTGGCAGTTATGAATAAGCTGCTATAAACATCTGTGTGCAGGTTTTAAGTTTTCACCTCATTTAGGTAAATACCAAGGAGCATGATTGCTGGATCATATGCTAAGAGTATGATTAGTTTTGTTAGAAATCACCAAACTATTCTAAAGCGGCTGTACCATTTTGCATTCCCACCAGCAATGAGTAAGAGTTCCTGTCAGTCTGTGTCTTTGCCAACATTTGATGGTGTGTTTTGGATTTTAGCCACTCTGATAGGTGTTGTGGTATCTCATTGTTGTTGCATTCTCTTTCTCTCTGAACTGTAGCCTGCTAAGGTTATATTACCCTACCCTAGAGGTTCTGGGGGCCATATCTCTTGTCATTTGGAGGATACAGATAATAAAGCCAACATGGAAACCTAGAAACTTAGACAAATTAAAGTCAGAGACAGTGAGGTATGTTCATGTCTCTTGATCCAGTTAACTCTGAAAGCACTACCCCACTTTCATTTGTTTACATGAGTTAGTTTATTAGTCAGGGTTCTCCAGAGAGAGAGAACCAATAGCGTGTGTGTGTGTGTGTGTGTGTGTGTGTGTGTATATATGTATGAGAGGGGATTTATTAGGAGAATTGGTTCATATGATTATGAAGGCTGAGAAGTCCCATAGTAGGCCGTGTGCAAACTGGATGCAGGTAGTGTGGCTCAGTCCAAGTCCAGAAGCCTCAGAACCACGGAAGCTGATGATATAATTCTGTCTGAGGCCACAGGCCTGAGAGCCTGGAGGTGCTGCTGGTGTAAGACCTGGAACCCAAATGCTAAAGAACCCTGAGCTCTGATGGATAGGAGAGAAAAGTGTGTACTAGCTCCAGCAGATAGATTTGCCTTTTCCTTCCTTTCTGTTCTCTCCAGGCCCCCAGCAGATTGGATGGTGCCCACCCATATTGAGAATAGATCTTTCTCACCTAGTCCACTCAGGCTCACATGCTAATCTCCTATGGAAACACTCTCACAGATACACCCCCAAATGCTTTACCAGGTGTCTAGGTATTCATTACTCTAGTCGACACCTAAAATTAACCATTACGTGTTTGCATACATATATACACCAGTTGTCAAAACCACTTCCATTTTTCCACTGTTCTTGTTGTCTCTTGGTTTTTCCTTAATAAGTGTCTGAATCTACAGCATCTTGGCAGATGTAAATTTAGGTAATAAAATCACTTGTTTCCAATAAATACCATTACAATCTGCCTTACCTGTTGGCAGAATGTCAGATGACTAGCTGCATATGCTAGGTCTATAACAGCAAGCTGTTTGTAACTTTCCACTCAAGGGCACCGTCTTCTTTATTGGGAATAGGCTCATTGTATCTTTCCCCAATTATCCAGTAATATCTCGAGTCTCTGATAAGGTTGATAATCCTGGGCAGTCACTAAACTGGCTTGTTCCCTAATCTGGCTCTGCTCATTCTAACTCTCCAAAGTAATCACTATATATATAGATATATATATAGATATATATATATAGATATATATAGATATATATATATATATATCTATATATATATCTATATATAGATATAGATATATCTCCAATACACAGGTGAGCCGTCAGTGGCTGAGTTTAACCTGCCCAAGGCCTTTTAACGTGACAAAGTGATGGTTTGTACTATTTGTGCTTGATCCCAAAGACTTTTTTCTTTTAGCTACTTGGTAGTAAGGAGGGCAATAGATAATTCTGTGCTTTCACCTAATTAAAGAGAAAGATGTAATTCATATTAATTGAGTTGTAACAATGGTATTTTGAACATTAGAAAGGGTGACTATTGGGAGAATCAGATCTAAGTAGTCATTACTAAAACAAGCTCAGTAAAACCATTAACCTATGGATTCAATTATATAGCACTGATTATAATGGTAATATCATTCACTGTAACAGTTTGAAACTTATCTTTATCTACTACATTGTAACAGGGCTTGTACTGGTGTAATGGAAAGTAAAAACACTAAAGCCAATGTGCAAAAGGAACAATAGTATTTAATAGATTATTAGCAGAAAACTCACATATGCTACATTTAAATTTGAACTTTGCTCATCTGGGGGTTAAGTATGCTGAAACCTCAGTGGATTTAAGATGATTTGTGAAGCTGAATCTTGGCTATATATATTTTTAAAAGAATAATGTTGACAGATAATCTATTTGTTACAGTTATATTTACTATGCAAAAGTAAATTGTTTTTTTTTTAAAAGGATAAGTCCATTTCTCATAATGTTTTAAACAAATGACTCTAAATGTAAAGCATTACATTTTCTATTATAATTGAACAAGCTATTAAAATTGCTAGAGTATATCACAACTAACCATTCCAGGACTATTTTAAACAAACACCTATTGTAGAGCGAGCACCAGAAGCAGTCAGGGCAGCAAAACTGTATCATCAATAAAGTAATCTTAGTCCTTTTATTCACTGCTCATTCCCCAAAGGAGTTACATTATTGAGCCAAGGAATTTTCTAGTTGCATTTTTGAGGTCACAAATGTGGCCTTAAAGGATTGTCCTTGAGACCACAGCTTTTGCAGGCAATGATGTGCAAGTAAAATTACATTCAAATGAAACTACAATTTTTTTGATATTTTAACACCAAGCTGAATGGTGCACTGAAATCAACGGATAAGGAGAAAGAAAATCAAGTTTATGGCTCTCTCTCTATAGTAGTAGTGTCATTCTAGTTTTATTGATGCTTTGCTTTTCATAAAGTGCAGTAAACAAAATAAATACGGTGAAAAAAGCTTTGAAAATTTATATACAGTCATGAGATTAAGATAAATTACTGATTATATTCCTTATAGCCTTTGAACTCTGTGAAAGGTGTCACATACATTACAAGCTCATTGGCCCAGGTAAAATAATCATTTTTGCCCTTAGATCAGTCTAGTATTAAGGAGTATATAATTACGTCAGCTTATTCCACAACACGAGGTTAGACTAACAGGAAAATTTATGTGCTATAGACTAAATCCAGATACAGTCAGGTGCTGAGCATTATTCCTGGCTTCAAAATAGGATGTATCTGTTTCGTCATCTGGTTGGGGTATGAAAGGCATAGTTTGATGCTGCAGATTTTCCCAGTCCACATCACTGAAGAGAGGATGATGTTTCAGCTCTTAGGAAAAATATAAAACAAAACAATATTATGACACCATTGCCTAAATAAGTACTATTTTATAGGAATTAAAAAGAGAATGTCTCACATATACCTTGCCCCACTTTATTATGCCAGTTTTACAGACATTTGTTTAGTATTTGTGTCCCTATTAGGCTACATACTTTACACTAGGCATATGACAGGTGCCTGGGTTATATTTGTCAAACGAATGAATGAATGGTTTATCTTAACAGAAGCTTATTGTTCTACCAGCCTGCATCACAATCCCTGATTTGACAGAAGAGGATTTGGCCTACTTCTTGCTCCCTGATACACCTTCCGTATTCCTGATCTTCCATGATTAATTCTTGATCTCCAATTCTCATTCCAAGGTCTTGCCACCTGTTTGTATCACTGCAATCCTTAGCGCTATCTATTGCCCTAGATAACTTTGGCATGAAGCTCATCCTCCACTCCCTTACTTTCTTCCCTATGCTTCATCCTTATGCTTCATGGTGATTTCAACAAATACATCGATGACACTTCTGACACATTCTGTTCATGGTTCTTTGACTTCCTTGTTTTCACCAGCTTGCATCTCTACAACGTACTGACTGTGTAGCAGTATGTCTACATCCAGAATCTTTACATCACAGCACTGCTCTGCTTACAAGATCTCAGACTTTGCTCACCTCTTTAACTACATTACTTGTCATCTTTCCTATTTCTTTTTACCTAGTGAAAACAAAATATGCTCTTTTGACTACACTGTGATATTTAGTTGCTAATCATAACTTTTCCTCTCTTCAACCCTTCACTTTATTTTTTTTATTTTATTTTATATTTTTCCTTTTTGTCTTTTTTCGTGACCGGCAACGGATCGCAACCCTCGGTGTTGCACCCGCACCTCGCTCAGCCAGTGAGCGGCCGGTCTGTATGTGGGATCCGAACCCTCGGCGGGAGCACCGCCGCGCTCCCAAGCGGTGCACTGTAGCAGTGCGCTACCAGGCCGGCCCCAACCCTTCACTTTATAAGGCAACAATAAAGATGCTGACAAACAACAAAGTAATAATAAAGGCAGTAAAAAGCACCCCCTTCCCAAACGTACCCAAATTTAAGGAAAACGTTAGAAGAAGACTACACAGATAGGAAAGAATAATGTGTCTGTATTGGGGATGATGGGTTGGGAGATCAATATGTTTACAAGTTGATTTTCCCCTAAACTATTACAGTAGGAAAAGGGATAAAATAGTAAAAATAATTCACATTTACAGCATTTGTTTCTTAATGTTCAAAATAAATAACAGCATGGGATATTTGAAAAATTACTTTAGAAAACAGTTTTCAACTGGGGTGATTTTGCCCTCCAAAGGACATTTGGCATTGTTTGGAGACATTTTTGGTTATCACGACTGGGGGCATACAGTGGGTAGAAGCCCGGGATTCTATTAAACATCCTACAATGCACAGGACAGTCCCCACAACAAAGAATTATCTGCCCCCAAACGTCAATTATGCTGGAGTTGGGAACCATTCTTTAGAAAATGGCTATTATATATTGTAATTTGCTCAAAATAAGTGGGGCAGAAGAACAACATTCTTACTAATGACACCACAGATTTTTGTTTCTCTGATGAACAATTTACATAGCAAAGTAGATGACAGGGGTATTTTTCAGTTAAAAAACAGTTGCTTCAACACAAACTAAACTAGAATTCCTTTGTGGGTTCAGTTTAAAAATAAATGAATGAGTTATGATGACAGGATCATAACGCTTCCCATCATACCCAGATATCATAGATTACTAGTCACTTCTACAAGTTTTCTGCTTCATTAAATGCTCCTGTCAGCAGAAAAATTCGAGAATCATTCCAGCACACAATACTTAGCCCATTAGAATATCACTATAGCCTGAAACTTTCACTTCTGAAAACTATTGCTACATGAATGTGGCCAGAAAGAATTGTAAGTTTTAGATATTACCATTAATTATCTCTAATTTTTTCTCTCTTTTAAGCTGGCAATTGTTTTTGCCTCAAATGTGCTTCACGCTGATAGAATACTTTTCCAACCAGCAATATAATAAGTCGATGTCTAGAGTCCTATTAATAATAAAGTCTTTACTCAATTTGAGACTGATTAAGTAAGTTAGGGCTTAGCATACATTAGGTATTCAATAAGAATTAGCTTTAAAAAAAAAGGATGACTAATCCCCCTCATGAATGATAGTGTTTTATAATAGCAATCTGACCGATATGCTGCTTTCAGACACTCAGATCTATTCTGAAATAACATTGCAAGGATTCAATATGTCCGAAACCAATGCACAATGTTTGGAGTTGAAATTTGTGGGTATCTGTGTGTTTCAAACAGCTTAATTTAAGTCTTAATTGTCTTGAGAAAGTTAGAGCTGAGTTTTCAAATGTCTGCTCCCTCACTTTACATAGGTTTCTGCTCCAATCCGAGTCCTTACAGAGGTCATCCTGACCACCCTATCTAAAAAAAATCCCGCCATACAAAGAGAATGTATCTTCTCACTCCGCTTTATTTTTCTTCATAGTACTTACCACTACATGGCATCATGACATTATGTTATGGCTGTATTTTGTTTACTGTCTGTCTTTCCACTAGAATGTAAGTTCCAGGAGGACAGGGATTTGAGTCTAGTTTATCCCTAGAGTTCTCCCACTGTCTGGAGCAGGTAGAAGTCACTCTATAGGATCCGTTAAATCAATAAACAAACAGTTGATCTTATTAGAGGGAACACCTAGAAGCTGATGCCAACGACATATTTCTAAAGTTATTTTTTAAATATACCCTACTTCACACGGAAATGAATTTTGGAACATAATGCTTATTTGTCTCTATATTATTACCTCACCTTGTTACAAAGAGAATTTTTTTTTTTCTCCTTTTTGTCTTTTTTTGTGACCGGTAACAGGATCGCAACCCTCGGTGTCGCGCCCACACCGCGCTCAACCAGTGAGCGGACCAGTCTCTATATGGGATCCGAACCCTCGGCGGGAGTGCCGCCGCGCTCCCAAGCGCCGCACTCTACCGAGTGTGCCACCGGGCCGGCTCCTTACAAAGAGAATTTTAAGGCAGCTGCCAATGAGATTCACTAGAGTTTTGAAATTAGGGTTTAATATACCCCTGCATTGAGAAAACCATTGAATGGTTCATAATGTACCAAGTTTGTCTTATTTGAGGCAACCCGGGACCTGATACATTGGTCAATGAATAAAAGTATCAGAAATGAAGCAACAGGAAATTACAGAACAGAAGAGATTTCCTGAATTTGTTGATGGTTAACTTTATCAGGCTTTGAAACACCCAAGACACTAATGAGATTGTTTCAGGTGCCTGCTTGAGATTAATAAAATTCAATGTGTGAATATTGCAACTTGGCCACATGGGATTTTAATGTAGAATAAGGACAAATAGATCAATGTATATCTAGAGGGCAAAAATAAACTGAATTATTTTAGTACCGATTTAGCAGTCAGATTTTCTGTAGTATTGTATTGAAACTTGATATTTTTATTACTATTCACCAACTGGAACAAATCATGAACAAGCTTAACACAAAACCATACCTTTCATTCCAGCTCTCTTTGAATCATCAGTGGTTAAAAGCATTTCCACTGCACTTTGAGCATTATCAGATAACTTTTCTTCACCTTCTGGCCAAGGGATATCTACAAATTTACAAATAATCTTGTTAATCACTGCTCAAAATAATGCACTGAGAGAGATGAATATACCTTAATAGGAGAAAAAGAATCACCTCTTTTCAGAATATTCTGAAATACTTGTTGTGATGTTTCATCATTGAAAGGGGGAATTCCTGTTAGAAATTCGAACAAGCAAACTCCAAGTGCCCACCAGTCTACTGCAGGACCTAGAATTTAAGAGGAAGCAGCTGAACTTGCAAGCATTTTCTATGAATATTTGATGAACTAAAATATTAATACATGGATATTTGGGCATAATCAAGGCATTCATCGCCTAAGTCTTTCTTCTGTCTTCATAAAGTACAAAACCCAAATTACCTTCATTTAAGCAATGTGATATTACTTTCTATCTTCCAGGTTAGATTAGCAATTACCACAGCTAGTTAAAGAAAAGTTAAAGCCATCTTTTTCATTTGTTAATAACTTCTGATATTCTATATAGTTTATGTGTTCTAAATCCTAAAATAGCACCAAGGAGTGCATTTAACCTAAAAGTTATTCTCTAAAATAGGTAGATGACTTCTCAATTTCACATCAGGAAATGATAACATTTAGATGATTTTTCTGCATTCCACTTTTTTCGCACAAGGTATGAGATGAGGCAGAAACATTTATACTAATTGGAGGATAGCATGGTAACTAGGGAAAGCCTTAATTACAGAATGTTTTAATGTGGCTTTATTCCTTTTAAGGACGTAGAGGAGAGGAACTATTTAGTGTAACAAAGAATATTCACTTAAACTATGGCTTGCAGAGGAAATTAGATAAGTCTTTTTTTTTTTTTTTAAAAGATGACGGTAAGGGGATCTTAACCCTTGACTTGGTGTTGTCAGCACCATGCTCTCCCATGTGAGCTAACCGGCCATCCCTATATGGGATCCGAACCCGTGGCCTTGGTGTTATCAGCACCGCACTCTCCCGAGTGTGCCAGGGGCTCGGCCCGATAAGTCTTAATAAATAGGTAAAACTGATTTCCAAACAACATCTTTACTGGAAGCAACATTTATATACAATTAAGTTTTTAACATTGATTTTATATGTATTTTTTGGCTGCTGGCGGTATGGGTATCTGAACCTGTGACCCTGGGGTTATGTCTCTCCCTCCTTTTTTTTTTTTTTGCTGCTGGCTGTTACAAGGATCCCAACCCGTGACCTTGGTGTTATAGGCTGCTCTCTAACCAAGCTAACTGGCCAGTCCCAATTTTAAATATTACCTTATAAACTGGTGTATACTTTTGTTTAGTTCTGCCTGTAAATAAAGTATTTCCTAAACAAAGGCTAATTTTAGCTGAAAAATGGTTAACTTCAATATAAATTTAGAATAAAAATTCTAGTCTAGTGCAAAATTTGCCTACAAATTGCTGTTTAAAGACAATTTCTTAAAGTTCATTATTGTGGTTATGCGACTGCCACCATTCTATTTTAAAACAAGAAAGCCCTGTGGAATCCGCCATTAGCAAAAATAATTGCATGCATTTAGAGTGCCTTTTTACCTGCAAGCCATGTAATCCCATCTTCCCTTTAAGGAACAAAAGATGCAAATAGTCTATAGGCTTCTATTTCTACGGTAATCACTATAAAAACGTACAGACCACCTCAGTTAGTAGAACTGTAAGCAGCACTGAGAAAGAATTGTTCCAATGGATTAGATAATATAACCAAATAACAGAAAAGAAGGGAGAAATCAGGGAAAAGACACATTTTTATTTGTTTTACTTAGGTTAGAAATTAGAACCCTTTTCCCAGCTCAGCCAAAACATACTCATGTTAAAAACATACAAGATTTCTCCATGGATATGTCACACATACCCATATACTTAAGTCAAAGTCTAATAAGATCACATATTGTGATAAATCTTAGCAATTATAATATATATTATTAACCAGAGAAAAACAACAAACTTGTTTTATACTACTGGCTTTCTAATGCAAAACCCAATTCTGTAACTTGTAGAAATATATTGACATTGATATTGTTTTCTAGTAATAATGAAAAGATTTAGAAAATTCAAGCCCTTTCATAGTTCCTAATTTTAATATTTTTATCAAGACTATTTCCTGTTTTAACTAAAAAAAGCTGTATCTTCACTATATGCTACCTTTAAAAATTATGAAAAATGCCACATGCCTATAGTTATTTTCATAGAGAAGAACCATCTCTCTGATGTCCTGCTCAGAATATAGAAGACAGCTCATTTTTTTATTTCATAAGTGAGCTGAAAGGGAAGAACTTTTTTTGTGCAATGTGATCTAGTTATACTTTGACTCTTCAGTTTAATATGCTTTGCCATCTTACTTTATAGAGAAACTCACTTACCCGAAGTCAGAAATCCTGCATGTAAGGAAACAGTATTAGGTACATTGTATTAAAACTATGAGTTCATTCCCTCAAGATTCAATGACCAGGGCACCAGCTATTGTGCCAGACATAAGGAATATAAAGGTGATTAAGAAAAAGATCTTTCCCCAAGGAGAAAACCACCTGCTCTGGGAGAGACAATATAGATAATTTTAACACAGTGTTAGAAGAGCTGAAACAAAAATACGCACAAGAAGGTGTAGGAAACTCAAGAGAGAGTCCCTAAGTCAGCTTGGCTGAGGGGCAAAACCATGGAGGATATCAGGGAGGTCACAGTTGAGCCTTAGGATATTGTTTAGCTGAGGTAGCTAGATGTCTTGCTAAAATAGTATCAAGATCCTATAGAATCTTTAAATTTGAAGCTTACTTTCACACTCTATCTTAAGTTAGAGATAATACGAATTATAATATAGAAAATGGACTAGCAAATCTGTGAATTAGCAAAAAGGGCACTGTACAAAAATCAGTTAAGCGTTCATAGGAACTTGCTTTGCCTAAGAGCAAAAGGGGAATACTAAATGTGTCTATTTCTAATACTGTAGAAATTATTAACAATAGTTACTGAGTACTTCCAAGGAATTTAGGAGAGTTATGTAGAAGGCAGAAAATTCACACCCTGCTTTTAGGAAATTTTCTTAACCTTTTGTAGTGGAGACAAACATAACAACTAATTACAACACAGGCACAATGACATATGTTGTAAACAGTTTCTAATAAGGTGATATGGAAGTGAGTAATTCTCAGTAGTTGATCAAGGGATGCTTTATGGAAGAGGTAACATTTGAACTGATGATGGGATGAGAAGACATTTGACCAGAAGATAATTGGAAACTGGCTCTTCTCAACCAAGGCAAAATACAGATGCAAAGTAAGAGACCTGAAAACTAAATGTATTTCATTAAGAAATGGAATGAGAGCATAAGGCATATAGAGGAATTCTTTGAGAGATGAAGCTGGTATGAGAGCTGAGAGCCTCAAATGTCGTGATGAGAAATTTGGATTTTATTCAGTAGCTAAGAGGAAGCCACCATAGCTTTTTGAGGAGGGAAGCAAAATGAACCATGTATGGTTAAGGAAGAAAAATCTGCTTGCAATGATTATAGACAATAGAATGAAGTTGAGGAGACCAGATAGAAAGCCATTAAAGTAATGACAGAGAAAGATGAAGTTCTTACAAAGAACAGTGGCAGAGATGAAAAGGAGAGGAGCAATGCTGCAGAGATTTAATTAACTGGATTTAAATGCCTGAATGTAGGGACAATGACTGTGTCACCATGAAAATGGTGAAACTGAGACAGGCAACAGAGGAAGAGCAAGCTGAATGACAAGTCCAGTTTGACACACAACATTTGAAAGACCAGTAGAATATTGACTCGGCAGTTTGGTCGTGTCTGCTGACAAGAGAAAAGGATTAGAGAGAGAGATTTGGAAATCATCAACATGGAGGTGACAACTGAAGTCACAGGAGTGAAGAGATTAACAGGAAGCACGTGTAGGAAAAAAGAGTAAAGAGCAGAACCCTGAAGAACTTCTGTACTACTGTATTTACAAGAAATGAGGAAACTGAAGAGGAGCAACAGAGGTAAGAGGATGAGACTGAGGAGATTGTTAGATTTGACAATAAGGACATCATTGTGATCTGTAAGAAAAGTTTCCTAAAGAAACTACTGAGAAATTTTAATCAAATTGCCAGAGCAAAAATAAACAGGCAAAGAAGAGGCAACCTTTGAGAAGTTAGGCAATGAGGTGAAAACAAGGGTGGGAACTTATTTTCAGGTTGAAGAAAAAAGCAGACAAAGAAATAAAAATAGAAGGAGCGTGAGAAGAAGATGAAACAGACAGTCATGAAAGGAGCCCAAAGAAAAGGAAAGAAATTAACATCAAGATGTAGAAGAAGGGGTTCATGTTATGGGTTGAATTGTGTATCCCCCCAAAAACTATGTTAAAGTCCTAATCCCCAGTACCTCAGAATGTGACCTTATTTGGAAATAGGGTCATTATAGATGTAATTTATTAGGTTAAGATGAGGTCACACTAAAGTAGGATGGACCCCTAATCCAGTATGACTGGCATCCTTATATGAAGTCAGCCATGTGATGATAGAGACACAGGGAGGCACCACCATATGAAGAGGGAGGATCAGAACGATGCATCTCCAAATCAAGGAACACCAAAGACTGCCAGCAAACCACCATGAGCTAGGAAGAGGCAAGCAAGGATTCCCCTACAGTCTTGAGAGGGAGCATAGCCCTGCCAACACCCTGATTTTAGAATTCTAGCTTCCAAAACTGTGAGCCACCCAGTTTGTGGTACTTTGTTACAGCATCTCTAGGAAATGCATACAGTTCACTTCAGAATGTAGGAAGGGAAATTTTTTCAGAGAGGAAAGAGAAGAAAAGAAGATAGGTGAAAAGTCATCTTTTTATTCCTTTCTTAAGTTCCATTTTGAAGGATGGTTCATTTCTGGTTTGACCCTTTGATGAGGATATAAGTGAGGGTAAGTTGTAAACAGGAATAGGCTTCTGCAGACTGAACAGAAGTTTAGGCCTAGCACTGTAGTCCTGAGCTCAAACTAGATCATGCTTGAAGAAACGTTTGGAACAAAGACAATATAGAGAATGGGACGTGGGGCTTCTCTGGATCCTTGAGACTAAACCAGAAGGCCAATGACAAATGACAACATGTCCTTCAGCGTCTGGTCTTTTACAATCAGAGAATAAGACAGCCCTGGCCATTTCTTTTTTCTTTTCCTATAATAAATGACATATGCATGAGAAAAGAGTATTGCATAAGTTCATTTTCTTTTATTTTAGGTAATCTAATAAAGAAATTTAAATCAATTTTACTTCAAAAGATAATGTAGTGATAGATAACACTTCAAAAACTCAGGACATGCATGCCTTACCATGGGTCCTGCCTAGTAACAGCTCAGGTGCGAGGTAGTCTGGGGTTCCTAGAATTCGCCCATCATCCACTGGGGCTGCCCCTCTTCTCACACTCTTTGGAGTTCGGTATGGAGTTCCTGACTTGATCTGATTCGGGGTCTGCTAATTCAAAAAGAGTTTAAGAGACAACAAATATCTTAATTGTTTTTACAATGAATAGAAATCCTCAAAAACAAACAAACAAAGCTATATCATAGGCTGCTAGGCATTTACTCAAATCCTTGATCAGGTTTGAGAATGGACTCAGACCTAGTTACAATTATGAAAAAGTCCTTATATGTAATGAAGTTCAGTAGCTTAGATAACACCCACTATCTCAATAAGATCTGTATATGCAAGAAACAATGAAAAAATCCATAAGAAAAATTTCTTGATAGCATGGATTAATACAAGCTTAAGAACAGACATTGAGGAAGGCTGTAATTGACAAATGATTGAATTATTAGGACAATATATAAGATAGAACCAAATATAAATAACCTCTTGTACTAAATGGCATTTAAAAGTTCTTAAGATAATTTGCTGTCTCACAACAATCTTGTGAGACTAGCAGGACAGGTCTAGATTATCCCCTAGAAAGCTGGAAAAACAGAGGCTCTGAGGTTAAGGGACTTCTAAGTGACTTAATAAGTTCTGGACAGAAAACCCACGTATCATAACCTAAATTCTGGGTTTACACATTTTATATTATGATGTCTCTCCAAAGGAAGAAAAAAAAGTGAAACTCTGGGTTTATAAAGGTTTAGAAAATAAAAACAAGATTTGAAATATATATTTTTCAACTTTTTGTATATGAAGAAAAGAGACCATCCAAATACGTCCTTGGAAGGCAGTAGTAAAGTAGACTTTAATTTTGTATCTCACAGTATTGCTGTGATCAAGTGAAAATATGTGGTTGTGTTTTCTTAGAAAAGTATATAGGGGGCCGGCCCGGTGGCGCACTGCGCTAGTGCGCCGCTTGGGAAGCGCGGCGGCGCTCCCGCCGAGGGTTCGGATCCCACATACAGACCGGTTCCCGCTCACTGGCTGAGCGAGGCGCGGGGGCAACACCGAGGGTTGCGATCCCGTTGCCGGTCCTGGTCCGGTACGGGGGCGACACTGAGGGTTGCGATCCGTTGCCGGACACGGAAAAAAAAAAAAAAAGAAAAGTATATAGGGCTATACAAATGGAAGGAGGCATTGTAGTAAAAAATAATAAACATTACTACCAGCTTTACCTTCCTGCATAAAAACTTCCAAAAATCTATAGATTCTCAACAAGGAGAACAAAATTATATGATTAATACCATTTAGTCTAGCTCAGAGGCAAATGTCTGCCTTGATTGTTTATCTTTCTAAAATTCAAAGAACAGTTAGAAAGTTGTAATATACCTGATATGGCATATAGGATCTTCCTTTTTGAGTAGGGGTTACAGCCATGGGATATGAACCACTATAAGCACATGAAATATCCATTGCATCTAAACAAGTAATGCTCATTTTGGATGGCTCTGAGTTACTAGATGCATTAATATGACTGTTAAAACTTCGAAAAGCTACAGCACTTCTTTTAGACAGAGTTAACATTTTCAACACCTCTGAAGAAGGAGCTAACATTTTTTGGTTACTGTCTTGGACAGAAGGGTTCTCATCACCTTTAGGCAAGGTATTTTCTTGGCAATTTGGTGATTCAACAAGTAGATCTGCAATATTTGATTCTTCAAAAGAGGATTCTTTGATGCTTTTATCTGGATCTAAGGACTGCCTTTCTAATGAACTTTCCATTATAGAACTTCCAGGAAAAGATGAATCAGAGTCCATACAAATACATTTAGAAGCTCTATCATCATCAGAACAAAGAAAACTAGAACTTAAGTAGTCCTTCTTATTTTTCTTTTCGCAATCTTCATCCAGTTCACACATAAGGTTTTTTGCTATCATTGGTATAGGTAATTTTTCTGGTGTTTGTTGTTTATCAGTAAAAGAATTGATGAT